ATACTTCGTAGTGGTCTTTCATCAGATGTGCTGGGTAACGGTGTGTAGCGTTGAACGGACATATTTCTAGCGGCGGATAGGTCTTCTGGCATTTAATGATGTGATGCTGCAGCCTCGAGCGGGACACTCGGTGGGACGGGTTGTACGGACATGTCGCGTAGTTCTCGTTGTTTATCATTTTTAGCTGAAAGAGAAAAATATGTTATGTTTTGGATAAATAATTATTGTTGCTAGACGGGCTCATTTTTCGAATAAAGCAAGTACGACTACCGAGTAAGGAGTGTTGGGTTGAAAAGTGATACATTATGTACACATCTGCCTACCCATAATTCGTAGATGTAAGCTCTGGCGATTATCCACATCGTATAATATTAAACGTTATTTTAAAAAGTACTTACATTGTCAATCAGGATCAGCAAAATAAAGGCAGGTCGTTCGAAATATCAGGATCAAAACAGCATAAAGTTTGGATCAAAAGGTATGAACCAGATTTGGGACAACGAGAGCAAGCGTCCTTCACAAAGTATCGCAGTAGAATGAAACACTGCGCATAAATTCTGCCTTTTTATATTCAGGAGCCTCCCGTTTCCATGGGATTTTTTTTACAATGTTATCTTGATCTTGATTATAATACTGCTTTGTCTGACAAAGCTACTCATTATCCTATGTTTTCTTAGAAAAATCACATTATATTGTTCCTTACAAGTTTGCTGATATCGTGAACACAATAGCTGACAAAACAATTGCTGAATAAATGTTTTTTCTTTCTTTCTAATAGAGTCGGGCGTGGTTTTTTTTAAATACCATAATAATATTTATAATTAGGGTGTTAGTTCGAAGCCTAAAAATGGCAAGTACCAATAGGACTTCTTCCGAGTTATATGTATGTACTTTCTAAGATTATTTAGACACCACTGACAAACATTGAACGAAAACATTGTTAGGAAACCTTTTTTTTTTAGGGTAGCAAATCATCCAATTTCTTCTCCCGCCCAGGTGAGGCGGGAGGGAGTGTCAGACTCTTACTGACTAAAAACCACCCTTTTCCTACTCCTACACGTCGAGCCGGAGCCCCGGCAACCCGTTAAGTCTTCCGCGGCTCCGTATCGGCATTAGCCCTATTAGGCTCCATCTGTGGTGGTCTGATGGCTCTTTGAGGCGCGCGAGGAACGCGACACGCCGTACGCTCGGGCCTGGTTCTGGTCGGGCGGCGAGTCACCCGTACTCGCCGTTCGCAGGCATTGTTAGGAAACCTGGGCTTATAATTTCTAATTATAAGTTTGTAATCGTCAACCGGCATCGAGCAAGCATGGTGATTAATGCTCAAACCTTCTCCGTGTGAGAAGAGGCTTTTGGGAAGCAGTTGGTTCTTGTAGGCTGTTGATGTGAGTTTGTTTGTTTGAATGACCATATCTCTGGAAATAGAGGTGCGAATTTGTTTTTTTTTATGTTGAATATTCATTTATCGATGAAGGCTGTAAACACTCACGATACGATTAATTGGAGCCGAGCGGAGCGGTTGAAACTGCGTGAGTGTAGCTAATTACGAATGATAGATATAACCAGAGGCGAATTTAAACCTAGAGAATATAGAGAGCGCCGTATGCAAGCACCTCATAGGCGCCCCTATTTACCTACTCTATGGGCGCTTGGGCACACTCGTCTCATGGCGCCCTTCTCAATTACATTTTTCTCAGCGATCGAAACCAAAACTTGCTCGACAGTTATACTGGTAACCATGAACGAAGCCATCAACTCGAAGCATTAAGACTTACGACGAAGGTAGTCTATTGACGGTAAACTCTCAGCAGTTACTTAAATATCAAACGCCGAGTCGCTCGTCACGTTGCCCTTCTATTTCAGTACAATTTAACGATCCTCCTACTTTATCGCCCTAGACACTCGCATGAGGCGCCCTAGACACTTGTCTTTTTTTAAGGAGGAAACATCATCCAATGATTTCTTCCTCCTGGGTGAGGCGGGAAGGAGTGTCAGACTCTTACTGACTAAAAACCACCCTGTTCCTACTTCGAGCCGAAGCATCGGCAACCTGTACTCCTCCGCGGCTTCGTATCGTATCGGCATCAGCCTTATTGGATCCGTGATGGTCTGATGGCTCTTTGAGGCGCGCGCAGAGTGCGAAGCACCGTACGTCTCGAGGCACCCCTCTGTAATCTGGCGCCCGGCACTTATCTAGTTTGTCTCAGGGATAATACGGCTCTGTGTATACTGAGCCACAAATTTCAGTGTTAATGTTAATCTTATCGTGTTTCATAACCACGCCATAATGTACCTAAAAATTAAAACAACTGAATACTGATACATCATTTGTCAAAGTAGGAATTAAAGTATTTTAGCTAATCTGTGTACCGCTATCTATGTACTTATTGAAATGTTTAAATATAGACTCTTACTTAATCGTTTTCATTCATTGTTTTCATTATGTAATTTAAATTTGAATTATTTTAACAAAAAATTGGTTAGTAGGTAGTCTGGTAGTCAAAAAGATTATATTTTTTTAAGGAGGAAAAATCATCGAATGACTGCTCTCGCCTGGGTGAGGCAGGAGGGAGTGTCAGGCTCTTACTGAATAAAAACCACCCTGTCTTTTTCCGCACGTCGAGCCGGAGCCCCGGTTACCCGTTAGGTTCTCCGCGACTCCGAATCGGCTTCGGCCTGTTGGGCCCCATCCGTGGTGGTCTGATAGCTCTTTGAGGCGCGCGCGGAACGCGACGCGCCGTACGCTCGGGAAAAAGATTATATTAGATAATCTCCTGTCAGTGGTTTCTGCCGCGATCCCATGGGATAATAAAAGTAGCGTAAAATGTGTTATTCCAGACTATCTATTTCCAGATTTAACTATCCCTGTTCCAAATTTCATCCCGATTCCTTCAGCCGTTTTTACTTTTACACACAAACTTTCACATTTATAATATTAGTACGATAGCAATACCATCTAATATAGCAGTGGGATCTAACATTATCAAGTCTAAGTATATGTTTTTTATGGAATAGGAGGCAAGCAAGCTGACAGATCACCTGATGGTAAGCGATCAGCGCCGCACGTAGACTCCAACAACACCAGAGGAACCACAAGTGCGTTGCCGGCCTTTAAAAAAGGAATACGCTCTTTTCTTAAAGGTTTGAAGGTCGTATCGGTTCGGAAATACTGCCGACGACAGATCATTCCACAGTTTTGCTGTACGGGGCAGAAGGCTACGAGAGAAGTGCGCAGTGCATGCATCTTTTCTAGCAGACGGATCACCTGATCGTAAGTAATCAGCGGCACCAATGGAAACCCTAATCAGTGTAGGTGTTACAAGTGCGTTGCGAGCCTTTGGGGATGCGCCTGCCCTTACCCACACACGGCTGCACACAATGCAAGCGTTATTTCACGCTGGTGTTGTGGTCGTTTTTTTATGGCATAAGCCGGTAAACGAGCAGACGGATCACCTGATGGTAAGCAATCGGCGTCGCCCATGGACACCTGGAACACCAGAGGCGTTACAAGTGCGTTACCGGTCTTTTGGAAATTGGGAATTTGAGGATTGTCCACAATCCTCAAATTCCCAATTTGAGGATTGTCCACAATCCTCAAATTGGGCCTCCTGTAACTTCACTCACATGATTTCAGGTCCGTGGACCATGGACCAATTTTTCATTTTTCTTTAGAATTATATTTTATTTATTATTTTTTTATTGTTAATTATGTTATGTGTATTCTGCGCAAAAATAAATGGTTTTCCTTTATTATTTCTTGGTTGCATGACAAAACACAACGTAATCGTTGTTTCACGTCGGTTTTCTGCTCGGCCTCGATATCACTCCGATCGAGCCGGCCCATTCGACTACATGCATATGTTACTTGTTATTTTGGTATCCGTATCGTATGTATATTACATCTACCTATATTACTATCGTGCACATACCAAAATAACATTTCTTTACAGTCTTGTCTGTCTGTCGTTCTGTTCGTACTGGCTAATCTTTTTATTGGCTGGCTGATTTTTCAAGACTTTTATTAGCAGGTAGTTGATGTACTAAGGACTAACATAGACTAATTTTATTTTGGAAAATAGAAACAAAAAAAAGTAATGTTTATGTTCATATTCTACACGGACAAAGTCGCGGGCAAAATCTAGTAAGAAAATTTAATACGACCTAATCCATGGTTAAAAGTGCGCCCCTGTCTAAGGCCCGGCGCCCACTATCGGCATCGGCAAGGAAAAGGATCCTTCGGCATCTTACATGCAAGCGCACACTGTCGGAAACTATGCTTTAGCATGCTGGAAGGTTCTTAGGGATGACGAGGCGTCCTCAAGCATGGCGCACCGTCCTGGAGCATGCCAAAGCGTCTCAATATCGTATTTCTCGTCATAACAGTCTCAGAGTTGTTACAAGCTAAATCTACGAGTTGTATTTAATATGGTGGACTGGGATCTAGTGCTCATAGCAGCTCTTGCTGAAGAAACAGAGAAATCTAATCAATCAAGCTGGCGGCTTCCCGAAGCATCCCGAAGCATCCCGAAGCATCCCGAAGCATCCCGGAGCATCCCGAAGCATCCCGAAGGATTCTCAAGGCTGCCGATGCAGCGGCCTCAAGCATACCGAGGCGGTATTTTTGTTATTACGACCATATGCACGGCGATTTGTACTTTATTGCCATTATGTTAATGTATATTGCTATTTGCCACCTAAAATCCTCAGACGTCCCGATGCCGACAGTGGGCGTCGGGCCTAACCCTTCGAAGAGTAACAAGCGTGATATTTATAATGAAAACAAGGGAAATCGTTGCGAAACTATGACATTTTTGACATAAAAATAGGCTACAATAAAGCTTATCAATGACTAAAACCAAGATAATGCATTATCTATGTTTCCGATAATTTGAGATAGCACAATCGAAAATATTTAGTGCTTTCCAACAAGCCAATACAACAACTTCATTCATTTATTTTTATTTTTTAATTAATATGTATTCCATTTAAAAAAATACAATTGACATTTTATTACAATCATAGAGTTCCGCTGTGTTTTTTTTTATTTAAACGTCAAATTCAGTGCGCGCGTTTAGTTTTTTCGTGTGTTTTAAAATTAAAAAACGATATTTAGATTAGTACTTTATCGGATTATTTGATTAAATTATTTTATGTAATGGTAGTTGGTGTGGTGATTATATCGATGAATGATTCAGTGGTTAAATATTTAATTTAACATGTTCATTTTGGACTTTCTGGCGTTTTGAAACCAATTGTAAGTACCTAAAACTGTCATCCTAATATTACAAATGTGCACTAAAAACTACCGCAAAGTTGAGGTCGACGGTTCATTAAATCTGCCGTCATCACTCGAAGGGTCGAGTGCCAAGGGGCAGTATAGCCGACTACACTGTTTTGGAGACTCGTTTGCCAAAGAAGAAAAAAAAAGTTTGTTTAGATGTTTGTCCGCCAATCACGCTGAAACTACTGAACGTATTTTGATGAAATTTGGTATATAGGCAGGGTATGGGCTGACTTAGGTGATACGATACTTTTTATCCCGATTAAATGCTCGCATGGGATAAAACAGGAATCAAATTTTACGCGGACGAAGTCGCTAGCAACAGCTAGTAGGTTATAAATTATATTTACTTACCTAAGTACTTATTTAGTAACTTGTTTCTTATTGACTGCCTTCCAGTCAAGTGGTCATAGGTGCGACTGTCGAGTACGGGTCCAGTGCCTTTAGCCAAACTCCACTTTAGCGCTTGTCTACAGAGAGAGTAGAAATCAAAATGTATGGGGATGACACTGACAAGTGTCAAAATTTACGTCAATTCCTTAAAATTTAGTTTCTATTCTACATGTAGACAAGCGCTAAGTGGCATTTGGATACAGCTGCAGGTTTGGATTATATTGATAGCTTATTGGATTTTTTGATAGCAGTAGGTACGTCGGCATCTACTAAGTTTAAGTACAGTTTTATTTTTATTTTTTTAAACATTGCCCCAGACTAGAATTTTCTCATATGTCATGTGTACGTTTACAAACATACAAGTTCACATACACAGTGACACCCAGACCCGAAACAACAATGTGTGGATCACACAGTGTTGTTCCGTGCGGGAATCGAACCCGCGACTCATTGTACGGCAGCCAGTTGCCCAGCCACCGCACCAACCGTGCAGTCACTGCAGTATTGATTTTGACATTTTAAAATATGTGTATAACTTTATACCTACTCTCTTTATTTGTGTACGCTATTGCCTACATCTTTGGGGAATTAAAAGGCGTGATAAAATTGCATTATTTGATCTAATTTATTATATAAAGTTGATGACTTTTTTTGTTTGTTTGAACGCGTTTATCCTGATCTGAAAAATTCTTTTTGTGTTACATATAGTCCACTTATCAAGGAAGATTATGAGCTATAAAACATCTCTATAGTCAAGCAATGAGTGAAACCGAGAGTAGCTAGTAACTTAACAATAGTAGAACAAAATTGTTTTCTTCTTTAGTCATTACTAGCGACCCGCCCCGGCTTCGCACGGGTGCAATATGTATATACATACAAACCTTCCTTAAGAATCACTCTATCTATTAAAAAAAACCACATCAAAATCCGTTGCGTAGTTTTAAAGATCTAAGCATACATACGGACATACAGCGAAAGCGACTTTGTTTTATACTATGTATTGATATTGATGATTATACTGCCTCGTTGGCCGAGTGGTTGCAAGTGCGACTGCCTGGCAAGGGGTCTCGGGTTCGATTCCCGGGTCGGGCAAAGTATAACTGGGTTTTTAAAAATGTCAGTAGTAGCACGGAGTCTGGAAATGTGCCCGGTATATAGCAATAGGCTCACCTCCTATTACATGAGACTCATAACATAAATAGTGAAAAGTGGGTGTTACATTGTATAGTGGCATTGCGTGCCGTAATGTGCACCTCTGCCTACCTCCTCGGGGATAAAAGGCGTGATGTTACGTTGTGAATACACCTTTATCTTACAGTTGCACTGATGATTCAATGCGTTCTTAACGCGAACAAACTGTAAGTCCTAATCAGTTAAAATCACACTTACTACCTATGACGATATGTAGGTACTTTCGATAACAAAACAAAATGCAGGATTTTATGATAACTAGATTAAAGGTACAATACCGATTCTTTACGGAACCGCGGAAGGCTTAACGGGTTGTCCGAGTCGAAGAGCCCGACCAGAACCAGACCCAAGCGCATAACGCGTCGTCGCGTTCCGCGCACGTCTCTAAGAGCCATCTGGCCCCCACAAATGAGGAACAGTAGGGCTGTGGCGGAGCCGCGGAGGTCTTAGACTATGAATTGAACGGTAGGAGTAGAAATATGATGGTGTTAAGTCAGTAAGAGTCTGACACTTCCTCGCGCCTAACCCAAGGTCTAAGGAGGAACCCAAGGAGAAGTCATTGGATGATTTTCCCCTCTCAAAATAAAGACTAATTCTTTATATTGTTTACTTTTTTTAAAGATATCGCCCGCAGGCTAATCTACTCTACACGTGACCAGAGGGCTGGCTTTTTCTTCGGACAGAAAATAAGCATTGCTATTCAATGTGGCAATGCTGCCAGTCTTCTGGGAAAGTTCCCCTGTGATAGTGATGCGGACGAATACTTTGTCGCCTAAATTAAGGGTATAATTTTTGTTGTTTTCTTTTGTTACTTTCGTTTTATTTAATAGTTTAGTTGTTGTTAATTTTAAGTTGTAAATATTTATGTAACTAATCTTCTTATCATAAACAGATAGTTTATTAGGTATATAGCTGCCAGCGGGTTCGCTCGCGTTCCCGTGGGTTAAGAGTGGCCTATGTTTGTCTAGATCATAATCTACCCCTGTTTCAAATTTCGACCCGATCTCTTCAGCCGTTTTGACGTGATTGAGTTACAAACATACAGATAGCATTAACTCGTCGAGTACCGGTTTTGTAGACACAATTATAGAACAATAGGTTGCGGTCACCGGTGACCGCTTGGTGTTTGACAGTTTAAAAAAAAGTTGCCCTACATTAGTATTTTCTGTCGCGGAGAACCTAACGGGTAACCGGGGCTCCGGCTCAACGTGCAGGAGAAGGAACGGGGTCGTTTTTAGTCAGTAAGAGTCTGACACTCCCTCCCGCCTCACCCAGGCGGGAGCAGTCATTCGATGATTTTCGCCCCTTAAAAAAAGCATATATACAGTCGAATTGAGAACCTCCTCCTTTTTTTGAAGTCGGTTTAAAAAAACACTAGGATTGTCTCCTGTGTCGTGTGTCCGTTTACAAACATACAAGTTCACATACACATCACACACAGACACGGAACAATAATTTGTGGATCACACAAAGTGTTGGTGGGTAGTGGGTAGGACGCGAAAAGGTGAATTTTTTAGGGTGGACGCGAACAGGCGAATTTACCCAAACTGGTGCACAGTGTACCTCTGCGTAAACTTTAAAGAAATAAAATGTGACTATTTAATAGCAATAACAACTCAGTCTCGGGTTCGATTCTCGGATTCAGCCGAGCGAGATATAATTTGATTTCACCTTTTTTAAATTTTTCGTTAATTATGAGTAACA